CGTGGGTTTCCTGAGCCCGTAGGCTCAGCCAAAAAATATGCCCGTATGACTCGTAAAAACGAGATCAGGGTAGGTCATTCACCCCGAACGAGATTCTGCCCTTCGGCGGAACCTCGTCCGGGTTCCTTTCTGCTCAAAAAAGCAGAGAGTTCGACCGTCAAGTCGAAAAGATCGGCTTGATTCAGTATCTAGCCACCCCCCCACGAGGGGTTGCATGCGACACAAGGTCATTTTTATCGTGGGTTTCCTGAGCCCGTAGGCTCAGCCAAAAAAAATATGCCCGTATGACTCGTAAAAACGAGATCAGGGTAGGGTCATTTCACCCCGAACGAGATTCTGCCCTTCGGCGGAACCTCGTCCGGGTTCCTTTCTGCTCAAAAGCAGAGAGTTCGACCGTCAAGTCGAAAAGATCGGCTTGATTCAGTATCTAGCCACCCCCCACGAGGGTTGCATGCGACACAAGTTCATTTTTATCGGGGGTTTCCTGAGCCCGTAGGCTCAGCCAAAAATATGCCCGTATGACTCGTAAAAACGAGATCAGGGTAGGTCATTCACCCCGAACGAGATTCTGCCCTTCGGCGGAACCTCGTCCGGGTTCCTTTCTGCTCAAAAGCAGAGAGTTCGACCGTCAAGTCGAAAAGATCGGCTTGATTCAGTATCTAGCCACCCCCCCCACGAGGGTTGCATGCGACACAAGGTCATTTTTTATCGTGGGTTTCCTGAGCCCGTAGGCTCAGCCAAAAATATGCCCGTATGACTCGTAAAAAACGATCAGGGTAGGTCATTCACCCCGAACGATTTCTGCCCTTCGGCGGAACCTCGTCCGGGTTCCTTTCTGCTGAAAAGCAGAGAGTTCGACCGTCAAGTCGAAAAGATCGGCTTGATTCAGTATCTAGCCACCCCCACGAGGGTGCATGCGACACAAGGTCATTTTTATCGTGGGTTTCCCAATGAGCCCGTAGGCTCAGCCAAAAATATGCCCGTATGACTCGTAAAAACGAGATCAGGGTAGGTTTGAAACCCCGAACGAGATTCTGCCCTTCGGCGGAACCTCGTCCGGGTTCCTTTCTGCTCAAAAGCAGAGAGTTCGACCGTCAAGTCGAAAAGATCGGCTTGATTCAGTATCTAGCCACCCCCACGAGGGTTGCATGAAACACAAGGTCATTTTTATCGTGGGTTTCCTGAGCCCGTAGGCTCAGCCAAAAATATGCCCGTATGACTCGTAAAAACGAGATCAGGGTTGGTCATTCACCCCTAACGAGATTCTGCCTTCGGCGGAACCTCGTCCGGGTTCCTTTCTGCTCAAAAGCAGAGAGTTCGACCGTCAAGTCGAAAAAATCGGCTTGATTCAGTATCTAGCCACCCCCACGAGGGTTGCATGCGACACAAGGTCATTTTTTTTATCGTGGGTTTCCTGAGCCCGTAGGCTCAGCCAAAAATATGCCCGTATGACTCGTAAAAACGAGATCAGGGTAGGTCATTTTTCCCCGAACGAGATTTTTGCCCTTCGGCGGAACCTCGTCCGGGTTCCTTTTCTGCTCAAAAGCAGAGAGTTCGACCGTCAAGTCGAAAAGATCGGCTTGATTCAGTATTAACTAGCCATTTTTACGAGGGTTGCATGCGACACAAGGTCATTTTTATATCAAAGAAAAAGTCCTGGAGCCCGTAGGCTCAGCCAAAAAATATGCCCGTATGACTCGTAAAAACGAAAATCAGGGTTAGAAAATTCACCCCGAACGAGATTCTGCCCTTCGGCGGAACCTCGTCCGGAATATTCTGCTCAAAAGCAGAGTTTCGACCGTCAAGTCGAAAAGATCGGCTTGATTCAGTATCTTTTTTTACGAGGGTTGCATGCGACACAAAGTCATTTTTATCGTTAAATCCTGAGCCCGTAGGCTCAGCCAAAAATATGCCCGTATAACTCCATAAAACGAGATAGGGTAAGTTTCACCCCGAACGAGATTCTGCCCTTCGGCGGAACCTCGTCCGGGTTCCTTTCTGCTCAAAAGCATAGAGTTTTTCGTCAAGTCGAAAAAATCATTTGAAATTTATCTATATTGATAAAAGAACGAGGGTTGCATGCGACACAAGGTCATTTTTATCAGGGTTTCCAATAGCCCGTAGGCTCAGCCAAAAATATGAAAGTATAACTCGTAAAAACGAGATAGGGTATCCGTCATTCACCCGAACGAGATTCTGCCCTTCGGCGGAACCTCGTCCGGGTTCCTTTCTGCTCAAAAATAGAGAAATTCGACCGTCAAGTTCGAAAAGATCGGCTTGATTCAGTATCTAAATTCTGACCCCACGAGGGTTGCATGCGACACAAGGTCATTTTTATCGTGGGTTTCCTGAGCCCGTAGGCTCAGCCAAAAATATATATGTATATATATAAAAAACGAGATAGGGTAGGTCATTCACCCCGAAGATTCTTCCCTTCGGCGGAACCTCGTCCGGGTTCCTTTTTAATATCAAAAATAGCAGAAGTTCGACCGTCAAGTCGAAAAGATCGGCTTGATTCGAGAAATATAGATAAATTTTTTTAATTTGCATGCGACACAAGGTCATTTTTTATCGTGGGTTTCCTGAGCCCGTAGGCTCATCAAAAATATGCCATAAATGACTCGTAAAAAATTGATCCGGGTAGGTCATTCATCAAAACGAGATTCTGAAAATTCGGCGGAACCTCGTCCGGGTTCCTTTCTGCTCAAAAAATAGAGAAAAAATGATCAAGTCGAAAAAATATATTTGATTCATATTAAAATAAAAGAAACGAGGGTTGCATATATTTATTCATTTTTTGATCGTGGGTTTCCAAATCAGCCCGTAGGCTCAAATCCAAAATATTTAAAAAATTTCATAAAAACGAGATAAATTTCATTTATTCCCCGAACGAAATTTTAAATTCGGCGGAACCTCGTCCGGTTCCTTTCTGCTCAAAATTTATAGAGTTCGACCGTCAACAATCGAAAGATCGGCTTGATTCGACCCTTTCTAAAGTTGCGTACATAATTTGGTACATATATGTTAAATATAGTTTATTCTATAGTTATATATATATATATATGATAGTAAAATAAATAAAAATCATATTAAAAATCAACGAGTTTCCAAGTATGAAATAATAATTAAACGGAAAAAATTTTTTTTAAAAAAAAAAAAATTAATTTAAAGCATTGAGATAAAAGCATTGCATTTCTTTTTTTTTATAAAACCTTAATGTTCCTTGCAGAAAAAAAGGCGACCGTGGCTTCCCACTGTTTTCACCTATCAAATTTGAATATTGTGCAAAAACAATCAAAAATTTCTCATAATGAACTTTTCATCATAGGACCTGTTCTGAAATAAACATTTTTAAATAATATTAAGCCCTATTTCAAAAAATGAAAATGAAATTTAATTTTCTTTCCTCTATTCAACCTGTTCAATATCAAAAATAAGATCTAATTTCATTATATGTCTCAAAAGATTTTTGCTGCCTCTTTAATAAAAAATGGATGTTAATATAAAAAAATCTATCTTTTAAAAGCATCATCTCAAAAATCTCATCGTTGCTCTAAAAAAAATTATTCCATGGTATCCTTAAATCCTTAGAACCATACCTTACCAAAATGATTATTCGTTTTCTTTTGCATAATTGTTAAATTTCCTAAACCGTAAAAAAAAACAAATGTCTTTTGGTAAATATAAATATTTGAGTAACTGTTTTTTTTTTAATTAAACTAAAAAAATTTTGATATTTTTGTCTCGTAATATTTTAAAGAAATATTTAAACATAATATTTTGGCCATCTATATTTTCTTCCATTATGGAATCACACTTGCCGTTGTCTGTCAGAAATTTCCCATATCCCTAATTTTAAATTTCGATTGACATTTTACTATTCCCCTATTTTAAATTTATTGCAGGATATATATTTTCAAATGATTTTTTAAATTCTGTATTCTAATACGTTATGTATAGTATTTTTATTCTGTATCTCCTAAAATAAAAATTTGTATTTTTAATCTTGTCAATAAATTTCCCGTGTCATATATCAGTAAATTTTATCATCTTAAAAATATTTATTTTTAAATAATCATTGATAAATGAAGTATCCTTGTTACTTCCAATTCTAAATTTTTGAAGATCAATATTTAATATTTTCTCAACATGCAAACGGAAGAAAATTATTTTTTAGAAAAAAAAATGAAAATTTTTTACGATTTGTCGAAAAACTTGATAATCAAAGATATAATGCCATTAAATCGATATATGAATCGATTGCATATGATTACTAATGCGTTCAATTATAATTTTAATTCAAAATTAAATTAAAAATGCAAAAAACATTCCAACATCCCTGATGATGCTGAGACGTCTTCAAATTGTCCATATATTTTTTAACAAATTTATAAATTTCAATTTGATTTCTATTTTAATTATATATAAAATTAGATGATATCGATTAAAGGATATGAAATTTAAATTGAAATCAATTCTATCTTATTTACATCTCGCGTCCTCAAATAAAAAATTTCTTTATTCGAAAATGATCGCGTGTATTAATTTTATTTATAAAATTCATGATTTTAATTATAAAATTTTTATAGCTTTCGTCATGAACCTGAAAGTTGTTCTGTCTGCACAGCAAAGAAGGCTTTCAATTGAAATGATGAATCTAAAGAGTGTGCGAAAAAAATGCAAAATTGATAAATAAAATTGATGCATATATATGATGTTGGCGATGTAATATCGATTGGATTCATGTATATCGATGTGAATTAACGGAAAAAATATTTATAAATTTAATCATTAAAGATCAATGAAATTTATATATAAACTGCTAATTGAAGGAAATCTATCTTATTTTGAATATTTTTTCTATCTAAATTATATATCTATCTATTTCAGACTGTTATCAATCTATCTCTCTCTATCTGTTTGTTTACCAATCTATTTATTTATCTATCTATGCTATTTTTATGAGTATGTATTTGAGAATGTCCATATCTATCAATTTCATGCCGTTCGTATCTGTCTTATTATATTCTTTTCATATCTATCTCTGTATTTATTTCAAACTATCTATCTATCTATCTATTACAGACTGTTATCCATCCGTCTATCTATCTATCTATCTATCTATCTATCTCTCTATCTATCTTAAAATCTATCTATCTATCTATTACAGACTGTTATCCATCCGTCTGTCTGTCTGTCATCTGTCTGTCTATCATCTATCTATCTATCTAAATTAGACTGTTATCCATCCGTCTGTCTCATCTATCTATCTATATATCTATCTATCTATCTATATATATGTTATCCATCCGTCTATCTATCTATCTATCTATCTATCTATCTATTCTATATAATATATCTATCTATCTATTACAGACTGTTATCCATTTCCGTCTGTCTAGTTTCTGTCAGTCTGTCTGTCTATCTATCTATCTATCTATCTATCTATCTATTACAGACTGTTATCCATCCGTCTGTCTGTCAATCTGTCTATCTATCTATCTATCTATCTATCTATCTATCTATCTATTACAGACTGTTATCCATCCGTCTATCTGTCTATCTATCTATCTATCTATTACAGACTGTTATCCATCCGTCTGTCCGTCTGTCAGTCTATCTATCTATCTATCTATCTATCTATCTATCTATCTATCTATTTGTAGACTGTTATCCATAATATATCTGTCTGTCTATCCATCTATCTATCTATCTATCTATCTATTACAGACTGAATATCCATCCATCTATCTATCTATCTATCATATCTATCTATCTATCTATCTATTATCTAATATTACAAATCCATCCGTTTGTCAGTCTATCTATCTATCTATCTCTTACAGACTGTTATCCATCCGTCTGTCCGTCTGTCAATATATCTATCTATCATCTATCTATCTATCTATCTATCTATTACAGACTGTTATCCATCCGTCTGTCCGTCTGTCAATTATTTATATATATATCTATCTATCTATATATATATCTATCTATCTATTACAGACTGTTATCCATATACTGTCTGTCTGTAATGTCATGTGTATATCTATCTATCTATCTATCTATTACAGACTTCGTCCATATCTTGTCTGTTTGTCAGTCTGTCTATTCATCTATCTATCTAGACTATCTTTTTTAGACTGTTATCCATCCGTCTGTCCGTCTGTCTAAATATCTTTTATCTATCTATCTATCTATCTATCTATTACAGACTGTTATCCATCCGTCTGTCTGTCTGTCAGTCTGTCTGTCTATCTATCTATCTATCTATCTATTACAGACTGTTATCCATCCGTCTGTCTATCTATCTATCTATCTATCTATTACAGACTGTTATCCATCCGTCTATCTATCTATCTATCTATCTATCTATCTATCTATTACAGACTGTTATCCATCCGTCTATCTCCCTATCTATTAATTCTATCTATCTATCTATCTTTCTATCTATCTATTATTTTCAGACTGTTATCCATCCGTCTGTCCGTCTTCTGTCTATCTATCTATATCTATCTATCTATCTCTCTATCTATCTATTACAGACTGTTATCCATCCGTCTGTCTGTATGTCTATCTATCTATCTATCTATCTATCTATCTATTACAGACTGTGATCCATCCGTCTATCTATCTATCTATCTATCTATCTATCTATCTATCTATCTATTCAGACTGTTATCCATCCGTCTTACCACCGTCTATCAACGCTATCTATCTATCTATCTATCTATCTATCTATCTATCTATCTATTACAGACTGTTATCCATATGTCTGTCTGTCTGTCAGTCAGTGTGTCTATCTATCTATCTATCTATCTATTACAGACTGTTATCCATATGTCTGTCTGTTTGTCAGTCTGTCTATCTATCTATCTATCTATCTATCTATCTATCTATCTATCTATTACAGACTGTTATCCATCCGTCTGTCCGTCTGTCAGTCTATCTATCTATCTATCTATCTATCTATCTATCTATCTATCTATTACAGACTGTTATCCATCCGTCTGTCCGTCTGTCAGTCTGTCTATCTATCTATCTATCTATCTATCTATCTATTTTATTCTGTTTTTATCAATCTATATATTTCAGAGTGTTTATCTATCTATCTATGTATCTATTACAATCTGTGTTTATCTATCTATTCTTTCAGCTGTTTCCTCTCTCTCTCTCTCTCTCTCTCTCTGATATTGAGCACTTTATCCCATAAATATAGCACAACACAGGACTATATATATATATATATATATATATATATATATATATACTATATATAGGACTATATATATATATATATATATATATATATATAGTCCTGTGTTGTGCTATATTTATGGGATAAAGTGCTCAATATCAGAGAAATGTGTGTAGGGCTTGATTATATAATCAAGTACTACTCACATTTCTCACCCACACATGACAGACATGCTTGCGGGGGTGTTGACGCCTCACACTTATACACACACACCTAATACTAATAGTAATATATGCACTTACACACTCCCAAAAAACAAATGATAACATTCTATTAACACGTACACATCGCCTTCCCAGCAACTATCAAGATAACTAAGGGATTTCTGAGTCGCATCACTCTGTATAGCTTTTATCTTAAAAACAATTTAAAAGAACCCGTTTTTACAAGGAATGGCCAAAATTAACCACAAAGAAACAAAAAAACAAACAAATGAAAACTACAGATAAAGTTTATTTTCTTCAGAAAGACATTCATTCCTGGAGTTCACTGCTACTAACAAGCAGGATTCTTTTCTCCTGATGATGGCCATGCTGGCCGAATCCAGTCAAAGAATCTAACTGAAATAATACACCCTCCCCCCCAAATAATAATATACAATCCAGTGTGTCTGAAAATTGATTTTTTAAATTTTTTATTATTTCTTATTGCTCAAAAACACACACACACACACACACACATCTATATATATATATATATATATATATATATATATATATATATATATATATATATATATATATATCTAAGGTTATCCAAAAGTCGAAAAAAAACTTTTGCAAAAATTTAAACAGACACTTGGATGAATAATTACTGTATATATATATATATATATATATATATATATATATATATATATATATATAAATATGCCCTGACAATTGCATATAGCATCAAACAGACTGTCGCCTCTAAGTGTTGACGTCTATGTTCACTTTTATATTTACACAAAAATATCTCTGATATCGAGCACTTTATCCCATAAATATAGCACACCTTAAGACTATATTTCTTCATATATATATATATATATATATATATATATATATATATATATATATATATATATATATATATGTCTGTGTGTGTGCGTGTGTGTGTGTTTTTATATATGATTTATATATGTTTTAATTCGAAGGTTTCTCATTATGGTTTGGACGTATGAAAATATATAAAGAAAAAATAGTAATATTCAGTTTAAATTGACATCATCAGAATATGTTTTTAATATATGTTTTTATATGTGATTTATACGTTTTTAATATGAAGCTTTCTAAATATAGCTTAGACATATGGAAATATATAAAGATGAAATAGAATTTGTCAGTTTTAATTGACTCCCTCAGGATATTTTTTTAATATATGTTTCTATATATGATTTATATACGCCTTTAATATGACGATTTCATTATGGATTGGACATATGAAATTTTATAAATTATTAGGAATTGGAAATAAGAAATTATATAAAGATAAAATAATAATATTCATTTTAAATTGACATCATCACGATATATGTTTTTAATAGATGTTTTTTATATATGATTTATATGTTTTTAATATGAAGGTTTGTAATTATAGTTTGGGCATATGGCAACATACAAATATAAAATAGAAGTTGTCAGCTTAATTGATCTCATTAGGATACGTTTTTTTATATATGATTTATATATATTTTTAAATTGATGGTTTGTAAATATAGTTTGGTCATATGGAAATATATAAAGGTAAAATAGGAATTGTCAGTTTAAACTGACGGCATCTGGATATATATATATATTTTAATATACGTTTTTTATATGATTTATATTTGCTTTTAATATGAAGGTTTCTCATTATGCTTTGGCCATATGGAAATATATAAAGATGAAATAGTAATTGTCAGTTTAATTGACGCCATCAGCATATATGTTTTCAGGCAATTTCAATCTTTTAAACAATCAATTAATTGATTAGATCGTGAATTGCGGTTACGTCCTCCAGTATATAGCATTCGTTAATATTTACGGTTCATTCAACAGACTTTTCAAGATGACCCTCGTAAATCCAATCCCGGCATTCATGGCGCTAACTCTTTGTCTGCTATTTCAACGACCTGCCAACAGCGACTCTAATTCGTATCTTGTCGATCTCCAGTCATTAATTTCTGTCTCATCATTCAAACGAAAATTGGAGTCACTCTTAGGCCTACTACAATTTCAATTCTACCGCCTCCCTCCATTACAGCTACACGAATGGTAGTTTAATCAATTTAATTAAACACGATTTTTACAACCTTTTAATATAATTGGGTCCATTGTGTACACAATTGAGTGTCCTGGTTATTAGAGCCTTCAAAGCGTGGCTAAAGTAATCCCTCATCTGAATGTGATTTAAATTCGCCTAACGCACGAAATGGGTGCATTAATAGAAGGGATAGTGAGATTTCTGTTTCTGAAGAGTTTAGTTGACGCTTTGCGCATGTTCCGAAGGTTAATTTCCGGAAGGAAGGTCACCTGAACACGAGGTTTTACAGAGATTCAATTTCTGTCGGAAATCAATTATCTCACTCTATTTCTCACTATCTATATTTGTTCAGCTTATATGAACCTGTCACAAGGCCATGATTGTGGAGCATTAATTAAGAATGACGGATATTATATGAGAGAAGCTCGTTATGTCCACTACACCCCAACGGAGAATAATGAATATAGATTTTACACGTAGAATAATACAAGTCTATAAGACTAAAGTGTTCCCGTTGCTTGAAATAGATCCATACCTCCCATATGAGGTCATTTTGGATTTTTTTGTATAATATATATATTTGTGTTGGACTCTCCCGTTGTATTCGACGTATGAGTGTCAAGTAAGTTAGTTCCGACAGCTCAGACACCAGCGCATCTGATTTTATTTTATTGAAGGCTTTGTGCTCCACAAACCACACTATTTGAAGGACGGAATTCAGAGTTCCCTTCTCTTAGACCAGCAACTAACTAAGGCTATAGAACCCAATTTGTCTTGCTATTTACCCATAGCTGGGGGTAGAAGAAGAGGTTTCATAGATTTCTCACGTAAGTGAATGTAATTGTCCGACTGGAAATCGAACTCGTTTCTCCGATTCCTCAATCCGAGCTATACATATATATATATATATATATATATATATATATATATATATATATATATATATGACTTATGCACCATGAGTGATACACGTTTAGACGATCCTGTATCTTTGATACATTGACGAGAGAGATTTTCTTTCCCGCTGGAGGTTGCCATTTCTGGGGTGGACCAGTTAGCATACAAGGCTATAGAACCTGGCGATTCTTTCTTATTTACCCATAGCTGAAAAGAATTCATACCTTTCCTAAGGGTATTAACATGTAAGTAAAAGATATGGATTCAAATGGAATTCGAACTCAGTTCGACGATCCTTCAAACCGAGACACTATCCACTACTCCACCGTTTGTTTTTTTTATATATATTTATATATATGTGTGTGTGTGTGTGTGTGTGTGTGTGTGTAAAAGACATATGGGTAAATAGCAGGACAGACTGGGTTCTGTAGCCTTGGATAGCAACTGGTCTAGGAGAAGGAAAACTCTGAATTCAAAACCTGCTGAGGGTTGTTTGGGGACCTTGTGACACGAAATGCACTAGGTCTCTGTAATCGGCCCTTCAAAAAATGTGGATGGTCCTGCACGAAACCTTCACCACTATAATCAAATCTCATAATGTTATACATACGGGTTGGGGACCGCTTGTGAATTCCAAATTCCCATGAAACTCCAATATTGGAGCCGACTCAACCCACCTCTACCTGTAACGGCATTCACAGGTAGATATATATATATATATATATATATATATATATATATATATATATATATATATATATATATAGATAGATAGATAGATAGTGTGGAAACTGATGATAACAACACCGAATGGCAACATTTTGTTTCCTGGTTCAGTCTATGTTAATTGGATTTTAGCACGATTAATTATAGCGATTTTACAAGCGATGTGGCACAAAGCCAAAAGTAGGGCGACATATAGAGAGGATCGAACTCACAACTCAGATAGTGAGACAAGCTCGCTAACCATTACACTGCCTCGTGGTGCCCCAATCTCGATTAATTATACATGTTAAATGACCTAAGGATATTGTCTCCTTAATTTTTTTTAGTACTGATCAGTGATTCCTTACCCGTTTCCACTGAGTGCAATTACACACTGCCCGATATCCTTACACATGGACAATTGGACGAGAACAGTCCACCCACGTTGATTAAATAGGTGATTCAGTTCAGATTTCCCTATAGGTTACCTGGATGGATATACATTTGAGATAGGAAGGAGAGCAAAATGGCCGATATTTGTGATGCCAACAAGATTTAATATAAATAGTGTAAGTACTGATAACTCCTCATACTCGAAATTCAGACAAAAATCACTTTATTAATATTTAATACTCCACGTGATATTTGCGTGTAGTATCCTTAGTTTTATGTGTAAAGGTCTGAACTGGTGAAAAAATGGAACGCAGCTCGTCGCCAGAAACTTTTTCAATGGAGTCAAAGGCAGAGAGAACTGCGATGTTTCTCTTTGGGTTCGTGGTTGTGCTGTAGAAAAGAATTCAACAACCACAAGGTTTTTAAAACTATCCAATCAAATTAAATAAAGGGTTCATTTCAGTATTCCAATTAGGTTCCATAGATCGATGTAGACCTGAGGGCACAATGGTTGTAAATTTTGGATAACGACAGCAAACAAAAGAACAAGAGTGCGAGTATGAATAACGAAAAAAAATTCAATATTTACATACATTCTGTTAAGGCTTAATCCCCGTTATCTTTTATAATAAAAGCCATTTCAAATATATAACATTTTATATGATCTAATTATTTTACGGCTTTGCTTTATTTCGGAAAAGAAAATGTACGT